GAGGCTATTGTTACCTTACCAAACAAACTTTTTTATACTACTTCTATTGCTCCTTGTGTTTGGGTTTTGCGTAAAGGCCGCGAGACTAGCAAGGTGTTAATGATTGATGTTTCCCAAGAAGATTTTGGAGAAAAAGTTAGCAGCAAAGAGCGAACGCTAAATAAAGAAGATATTAATCAAATCAGTGAGGTTTATCACTCTTTTCGAAAAAGTGGTGAACTGAAAAAAAATAGTATTCCGGCCGCTATAGTCTCTCGGGAAGAAATTGAAAAAAATAACTTCGTTTTAGCCCCCAGTCGTTATTTGCCTGACAGCCAAGAAGAATTAACTCCGGAAGAAATTGATAAGCAATTGCTGGAAACTACTGCCGAACTAGAAGAATTAGTCAAAGAACAAGATAAATATCACCAAGAATTAAAAACTTTACTGGCAGAAATTAAGAAAGAACTCAAAAATGATTAAAAATGAGAAAAAAATCTACAAACTAGCGGAAATTTGTGAAATAAAAATTCATCGCTGAAATAATCCTGTTTATTCAGAAAAAGGAAAAATTCCTTACTACCATATTAAGGATATTCAAAAGCAAACTTTACATCCAAAAAATAGAATTTTGCCTGGGAGTGCAACAGAATGAAAATTACCTTTAACTACTGAAAATTCACTGCTTTTAACCAATATCGGAACCATTGGCAAAGTTTTTTACCCCGGAACAACCGGTTGTGCGTTCGCTAGCACTATTACTTGTTTAGAACCCGACCTTGATTTGGTTCTTCCCCAATTTCTCTATTATTACTTACAAAGTAAGGAAAATCAAATAAGCAAGTTAGTTGACGGCAGCACTGTTCCTATGCTAACTAAAAAAACTCTTTCTGACTTTCCCGTTTCGTTGCCTTCTCTTGAAAAACAAAGGAAAATTCTCACCCAATTTCAAGTTGTCTATAATCAAATATTCGTTAGCGAAGTTCATTATCAAGATAATCTGCAAAAAATAATTCAAAAACATTTAAAAATTGGCGACTTGCTTTTCCAAAAACACCGTGATTCCACTATCCAAATTAGAGACCAATTTCAATTAATTTGTGGTCGAACTCCCCCTTCTAAGGAAGAACGTTCTTTAAAGAAAAAAAATGTTCCATTAGAGGTAATTCGTAATCATCCTCACCGACGAGCCAAAACTAATTATTTTCTGGCCATTTTTCGGCTTCGTCATAGTATCAGTAAGGCCATTCATGATTTTTTTCACCAGGAGGGATTTTATTATGTCCCAACGCCAATTATTACTAGCAATGATACCGAGGGAACAGGAGGATTATTCAACATCAACACCAACGAGGAAGAACCGTTTTTCTCTAAGCCAGTTAATTTAACCGTCAGCGGACAACTCCACGCCGAAGCTTTAGCCCAAGGACTAGGACAAGTTTACACTTTCGGTCCTTGCTTTCGGGCCGACCCTTCCCAAACTACTCGGCATTTAGCCGAGTTTTGGATGGTCGAAGCCGAAGCAACTTGGACCGATTTAACCCAAATTACGGATTTAGCCGAAAAATTGATTAAATACACGATAAATTATGTTCTGGCTAATAATAACACAGAATTAGCATATTTCGAAAAATTTCAGCAAAAACCAATAATCGCAAAGTTAAAAAATATTGTCAGCACCAAATTTCGGCATCTTAATTACGAGGAAGGCCTTAGAATATTAACCGAAGCTCAAAATAATTTCCAGCAAAAAAATATTTTTTTTGGCGTGGATTTCCAAGCCGAACATGAAAAATATTTGTGCCGCCATTTTGGCAACCAACCCCTTTTTATCCTCAACTATCCTGAAAAATTAAAACCTTTTTACATGAAAAATAATCCGGATGGGAAAACCGTGGCTTGTTTCGACTTAATTTTTCCCGAAATTGGAGAATTAATTGGTGGGAGTGGGCGAGAAGACAATTACCAAATCTTAGTCGATAAGGCTTATCAAAACAGTCTAGACGTAGATAATTTAAGTTGATACTTAGATTTACGAAAATACGGTTATGCTCCCAGCAGCGGGTTTGGTCTGGGGTTGGAAAGATTAATAATGCTTTTTAGCGGAGGAGGTAATATTCGGGACACGATTGCTTTTCCGCGGTCTTTTCGCCAGTTGGATTTTTAGGTTAAAAAATTAGGCAATTACATACGATTTTACCCAAGCCAAACTGACCGGTCATTTTTCAAAAAAAATTAAAGGTTTTAGGAAAATTTTTTGACTAAGAATAGTCAAAAAAAACCAACATTTTTTTAGGGTAATTGCTTATATAATTTCCTTAAAAAATAATACCAAGTAATTCTTAAAGCTAAGTATTTAAGAAATTTTATTTTCAATAAAATTTACGCTTGATTTAGTTTTTAGTAAATAAATCAGTAAAATTAAGGTATCATGTTAGGCGAGTTGGGCAAGAAAATAACTTTTGGACCCAAATCAATTCAAAAAAAAAAAAAAAAAAAAAAAAACCAGGAGGAACGGGAGGAAGTTAACAATAATAAAACTATTATGCCAGAAAATATCCAAAGAGTAAAAAAGATTACTCTAACTGAAAAAATCCAAGTTAAAGAAAAAATTGACGAAGAAGAAATAATAAAAATCCGGGAAAAAGTTAGTGCTGAAATTAACCAACTTAACCAAGAATTAGTAAGCGAGGTGGCAGATGCCGAAAACATAAAAAAGATCGTTAATGAATTAACGGATTTGAAAGAAGTAGATGAGTTTAGAAAACTTTATCTAAAAACTATAATTACTAATTATTTAGAAAGGGTTGGAGGGGATTATAAGGCTTTTTTGGTAAGAAAAGACATAATTGAAGAAGCCGAAGTTGTGGCTATATTGCTTCATAATCAACAACTTTTTATAGAAATTAGTTTAAATAGACAAACAACTAATAGTAGTATAGCCGACGTGATGGCGGAAATTTATCAGGAGAAAAAGCGGGTAATCGACCAATCTATTAATGACCTTACCTTAGTAAAAAAAGGTCTAATTCCCAAATTACAATCAGAAGTATTTTCCTTAATAGAGAAAATAATAGCATTAGAGCAAAAGTTAGAAAGTCAGTCGGCCCAATTAACTCAAAGTGGGATTTTTCTCCAACTTGCCAAGGAGGAAATTGAGAGATTATACAAAGAGAATGGTGAATTATATGTAGAATTAGACAAGTTTTCTGAAGCAAGAGAAAAATTTGCTGAGTTTGAATGGCAACTAGAAAACCAAAAAGAACAAATTGCTTCTTTCCAAGAGCAATTAAGAAATAAGGACCTTGTAATTGAGGATAAAGAAAAAGCAATTAGTCGCTTAGAAGAGCAATTGGCAAGAACCGAGACCGAAGGCGAAAAAGAGCAACGGGCAATTGCCACAAAAGCTCTCGAAGCCCTAAACTTATTCAAAGCAAATCAAAAGGAACTAGAAAGATTAAAAAGCGAATTACGAAAAAAAGAAAAAGAATTAGCCGTTAAGGAAGCGGAAATTAACCAATTAACCCAAGAGATTGCCGCAAAAAACGAAACAATT